TGCCGCAATATTCCCAGGAACTAGCCCAAGTACTACATCTGACTCTAAAGGGCTCAGTTAGCATGGCAAATGTTAAAGTTTGTGACACTACAATTAAAATGTTTGAATGGACTGTCAGCAGAAAGGCCCTGCAGCACGGCTTAGGCTTGCAAAGTTGCATATGAACAAACTACAAGGCTTCTGGAACAATGTCCTTTGGGCAGAAGAGACCAGACTGGAGATGTTGGGCCATAATGCACAACAACACATCTGGAGAAAACCAAACACAGCATCAGCAGAAACACTTCATACCAACTATCAGCACGGAGGTGGAGGCGTGATGATTTGGACACCTTGCAGTCATGAATTTCTCTCTAGAAGAAGTACTCTATAGCAGGAATGTTAACGTCATTTTACATTGTGAGCCACATACAGAGCCAGACCAGTAAAACTCCCCAATGTCTGTCTGTCACTGTAAATGCATTTAACTACACATTTAATTCCCCAGAGGTGTTAATATGAGGGAAAGAAGTGTGATTTCAACAGCATGTCTCAGTTTTTCTACACAAATAAAGGTGTAAAAATACAGAACAAAGTTCTGGCTGCTCATATATTTCTATAGTAGAAAGACTATCTACTACTTCACTTTAGTATAGTATGAATGCCTGCGGAGGAGATCTTTATCAATAGGAAAAGTTGTAAAACCTATGAAAAATGTTCTAATCACTATGTACTTAACTGACAAATATACATCTGGTGTCAATACTAGAGACAGTTATTTGATCAACTGTGAATATAAAATTATATTAAGAGCAAAGCTTTAAAGCCCCTAAAAGAATCTTAAAGTAGTTTTTTTTTTTTATATCTGGCTCATGTTGATTGTCAGCTTCCAGCACAGCAAACTTGAGAAGAAAGTGTTCAGCTTATTCATGGTCTTGCTTTGTGGGGGTAAATAAATGTGTAAGTGTGGCCACATGTATTACTCCAGCAGTGACTGAGGCAGAACAGGTACCTGAATACAGGCCAAATAAACACAATGATTTTCCCTTCATTTAATCTTAGATCGTGTTCAAGCTAAATTTAATCAGTTACTTTTAATAAAAACATTCATGTTTATGGATCTGTTAGAGGAACCAGAGCCTCACATGTAAAAGTGTTCAGCATTATAGACTCATGTGCAACTCCCCCCTTTTTTTGGACAGAGCTTGTTTTTGAAGTGCTCCCATCTGAATTCAACTGCAGTCTCATAATGCTAAAAGCAGGTTGAGTTATAAACACAACAGCACCGTAAGTCAGCGCTTCACAACGCCACAAACGCACTGATTCACAACTCCTGGAACTGATTCGACATGGTGTATAATATGCTCTCCGTCCATCCAGAAACCTGTCAATCATACGAACAGCCACGCAGGGCAGCCAAAAGTCAAGAGGTGGGATCACAGCAAAAAAAAAAAAATGACACTGCAGGGCGACACCCGGCTGTAGTGCTTCTTCACCTAAATCTGCGTCTGGGGGATACGAGATTGAGCGCTCCGGGTAAATCTGAAGGGTTACAGGTGCTTATTCTGATTAACGACCTGAAAAAAAGACTATAAAAGGGGGGATATACTGATGTGTCTGAGACCGTGCAGGGCGCAGGCCCAGGTTAAGGCTTGTGGAACAATCACAGATTTCTGCACCAGGCAGGTATTTGTTCATGTCACTCAAGAAACACCACAAAAATGAAGTCTGGACTTTTGTGCATTTTTGTGAGTGATTTTTTCCTTCTTTTCTTTGACTGTAACCTTGACACACAGACACACAGATACACAGAACCAATGCAAGCAGCTTTACTTCAAGGACTACAAACCACATTTGATCTGACAGACACCAGGGTTGGAAATTTCTTTTGTCTTTTGAAGCGGCTGGTAAACACATTCTTCACATTGGCCTTTTCCCTTTGTTTCATTAGAGCCTGTTTTAGAAATCTGAAGAAAGTGAGTACCAGACATCAGGCTTGGGCGGTATCCATCTTTTCATACCTTCCTGACATCACACAGGGTGTTTTTAATGGCACACAGTGGCCTTTGTGCAGCTTTTGTACGGTTGTCTTTGTACACCACCACAGTGTATTGTAAATGAAACATAATCAAAATATGTGATTGAAGTGCTGACTTTTAGCTTTAATTCAAAGGGTTTTACAAACATTTTGTATCAACTCTTTGGGAATTACACATTTTTTTCTGCAGTTGGCCATCTTTAGAGGCTCAAACTTAATGTGACAATTGACGGGTGGTTTCATGGCCAGGTGAGATATGTTCTCTTGTGATTTTGTGATAAATGAAGCAGATATGACATCTGAAGTTGATTCTAAATGTCGGGTTTGTATTTATAGCTTTTTACTATCATTTTAAAGCTGACCGCCGTTAAGCGAAAAACACCCGAGTAAACCAATCAGCGAAAACTTCAAAACTGTAATTCCCTGGACTTTGAACAATCATCTATGCACTGCCTTTAGTAAGTCCAGAATGGGACAGCTCGTCTTTTAACTGGTATTAAAAGGCATGAAGACATGACCTCGGCCTCTCACCCCTTCTTCTTTAGCTCCCTGTCTGTTTTAGAATTGATTTTAAGATTTCATTGCTTACTTTTAAGGTTTTCAACAGACTTGCATGTTTGTATCAGTCTGAGCTGTTTCACACTGATAAACCTGTAAAGTTATCTTACCAGTTCCTCTAACGCACGCCTAAAACCAAGAGGTGATTGAGCTTTTACAGCAGCAGTACCAAATCTATGGGATAATCTACCTCTCCGTATCCACACAGCTCAGACAATACACTCGTTTAAATCTTTATTCGCCTTGGCATTTGGTTCCAGTGCAGCATCCTTAGATTATTGCATTTTGTGTTATAAATTTATTTTATTTTTATCTTATGTTATTCATTGTGTTTTAAATGTTGTGTTTCGTGCTCAATTGTTCTGGATTTTAGTGCAATGTTTGATGGCGCTATACAATTTTAATGTACAGCACTTTGGTTAACTCTGTTGTTTTTAATATGGTATATAAATAAATTTGACCTTGTGCAGCAGCCAAACGGCTCATTGTTAAAAAGAAATGAAGGCACTGGCCAGCTGAGCTACAGCAAAAGGCCTGAAAGACCAGAAAATACAACTAACGTGGATCACAGATTTATTTCTGTGGTTATGAAAATAAACCTGTGTATCACTGTCAAGATCTGCAATCAGGAGACGCTTATACAGAAGCTGTACAACAAGACGCAAATCACTGGCTACACTAAAGACCACAACGGTCAGATCAGACTTTGCTAGAAAACATTTAAAACATGTTAGACAAATGAATCCAAGATTAACTTGTACCTGATGGGAAGAGAAAAATACAGATGACAGAAACAGCTCGTGATGCAAAGCTATACTATGCATCTAACATGGTGAAGGCTGTGTTATGGTGTAAGCGTGTATGGCTGCCAGTGGAACTGTGTCACTAGTGTTTACTGGTGCTGCAACTGCTGATAGAAGCAGCAGAATGAGTTAGTAAGAAGCGATTCTTTCTGCTCGGATTCTACTAAATGCTGCAAAACTGATTAGACAGAGCTTCACAGCGCAAATGGATAACGAACCAAAGCATAAGCTACCCAAGAGTTTCCAAGGCAAGGAAAAGGACATTCTTCAATGGCCTTTTGTTTTTATGTTCTGGCATTTGTTGTGAAGCAGTTTGCAATAAATATCACACAATTTATTTATTCAAATAGAATAAAATTCAATTAATTAGTGCTCCGGACTAAAAAACAAAAAAAGGAAAATGCTTGAATTTCACTCAGCAAAGCTGACACACACTTCTTGGATCGTCTGTACCACACAGCAAGCCATAAGGTTAGTCAGCTAACCCATTGGACAGTGGAAAAGCTGGGTGCTTCAACTGGGAGATACACCAGGGGAAGGAACACAGCGAGTTTTTCCCAAAGAAATGCTCAGTGCTTAAAACAGAATAGGTTAAGGCGATTAACGAGCATCTTTCACTTTACACTCTGACTTTAACAAAATCAACCCAACAGTCAGAAACAACCTTCAGCTGTCTCTCATTGATGATGATGATTACGATGGGTCTGTGTAGTCACCACACCAACACTCGTGCATGTAGAAGGACATTGACCTGTGCCCTCGTTACATAAGGAGGTGTGACATTAAATCATTGCTGGACGGATTTATAATGAATCTCGGAATAATATTATTAATTTATTGAGTCAATGAGGAATTTATACTATAACTCTTTGACCATAACTGATCCCTGACATCATTGTCCATGTTTGATCTCCAAGTCTGTGTCCTCAACAGAGTACAAAACAACTTTTTAAAAGCAAGCAATCCGCACAGCTTCTTCCTTTCGGCCTGTTTGGCTGCCTCACTTTTATCAACTGGACTAAACCCCCAAATACTCCCAAGTTACTGGTTACTAACTTGCAATTGACAACTTTCACAGCTCACTGAGCTCAGCTGCTTGTCCACTGACAGAATCTGTCCTCTTTAATAGAGGACTGTTGGGGTTTTTTTGGACAACGTTGAAGGAAATTACATAATTTCCTCAGGACAACAAAAAAGTCATGCTGTGCAGATTTGTAAATGGTCTTCTTTACTAATACACATCGATACCGCCCAAGCGTACCAGATATGCTCTAGTCAAGATTGGATAACTCTCAGATAGAGAGTTAAATATCAACTGTTTATACACAGTTATAATACATAACAAAGGTTTCATACTATGACTGAACCTACAACAAAATGACAATTTAACCTGCCAAAATATGTGGTTCAGTAGTTGAAACAAACAGAATTGTGCCCCCATTTCCTTCCCTGGTTGGGACAGAGATAACACCGATTCAGGCAAACGTGCATCACTCTCTTTTCATCTTGCATGCTGGTCGATGCGTTCTAGTAAGGAGATTTAAGGTCAGGGTTGAGGGTTAACAAGGTGAGTCAGGGGTTTGTAAACATCACTCCATCACAACAGCAGCCCAGATACTCACCGGTAAGGTAGCGTGTTCTATGGGTGTTCCCTAAAGCAAGAAACATAAACCAGGATATTTAGCACAGGGCAAAGCATCAGAAGTCATGTGTTCTTAATGGAAGGGGAAAAAAAGAAAAAAAAGAGTGGAAGGAGTATATAATGGCTGCCTGGAAACAATCCTCCTCAATCAAATCACTGCAAGGACATTGGCAGCTTTTTCTACCTCAGTGTGTGTATATATTACACACAGGCCCTCGAGATGAAGCTAATCTGGCTTTAACTGGCACTTTGTGCAACGTGCTGAAGCACCACGCAGATCTGGTGGACACAACGGCGGCAGCAGTGGCCAAAACATCTCAGAACACTACAGAAAAATGATCTAAGTGCCCATAAACCATAAAACCGAAGGGTTGGCCCAAAGTTTGCTCTCCAATATTCATGTGACTGTTTTCACTCCAGAGGACTTTTCACGTCGTCCCCCTTCTGCTTTTAAAATTTGAGCCCAATTCGATTATGATCCTTTTTCTAAGTAGACGTAGTATTAGTCTTTGGATAAAGGAAACGCTTTCCTTTCTAGGAACTGAAACTGAGGCATGAGACGAATAAGTGTAATCTTTCCTGTGGCTGTTCAGGAAATATGAGCCAAGTACCTTTAGAGCTTTTACATTTAATACTAATAGGTTTAGAGCCGTTTAAACAGCTGACACAAGCATGTGCAAAAATATAGCGAGCTGATCGCTGCAGGAATGTTTCTGTAACATGCTGCTCCTTCACTCCATAAATATCGGATTGGGGTTCGTATGTTTGTGCTGTTTTCAATGTCCTTACTGTTGGCTGCATAACATCCAGGACTTTATATTTGGATGCTTTATTTCCTTCCCATTATCGTCCATCAAACCGTCTGCTTCAAAGCTTGGAAATAGTGCAATATATTAAAAAAAGGATCATTCACAGTATTCCATCAAAGTAAAATCCATGAGTGGGAAGCACTGCGAAGCCCTGCACTTGAGTTCATGAGTTGAAGCTGGTCTTAATTTGGCTGATGATCTAAGGTCGTCCAGAAAATTGTGGCTTTGAAAGTGTATGACAGTCAAAGTACAGGAAGTCCGTAATAATCTAATTTAATTAGTTTAACAATTTAATTCAGATTGGCTTTCAGTACTAATACTAGAAGCCATTAAAAGTGTTTTAGATGTTATTTTGTGGACTTGGAGAAGACATTCAACTGCATCCCTCAGTGAATCCTATGGGGCTTAATAGTTGATTGTACAGTATTAGGTTTCATGTTATGTGCTATTTGGTCCATGTAAAAATACAGGGCTTCACATTGCCACCAATAAGTTACTAAAACGGGGTCATAACGTCTATGGACAAAATTTCAGGCACAGCTAAAGATCAGAGAACATCCTAAAGATCAGAGAACATCCTAAAGATCACGTCTGCTTCCTGCAGATGATGTGGTCGGCATGGCTTCATCAAGCAACGACTTCCAATTTGCACCAGGATGGGAATGAGCATCTGCAAGTCTGAGGCCACAGCTGTCAGCCAGAAAAGGGTGAAGTGCTGGTTCAGGGTTGAAGATCCAAGTATCTAGGTGTCTCGTTAATGAATTGGGGAAAGTGGTTAGATGGGCCTACAGTGATGTGCTGGAAAAGAGCCAGTTGAGCTGGACTGGACCAACTGAGACGCTTCCTTGGTGAGGTTTTTGGGTAGTGTGCAAAAATGACGACACATTCTGGAAAAATCAACAGAAAGCATCTTTTGGCTGCATACCTTTGTACCACCCCAGAAGTAGGAGGTTTAGATATCTCTTTTAAATGCTGCTGCTCCCTACTCGCATAGACGCAGACACACAGTAGGACATCAATAAAGGGGCAGTATAAACGTATTTGTTAATTTATGCCCCTATAAACCTGTTCACGCACTTTAGTAGTATCCAATTCATTTCTGTGAAACCTTACTCTTTCACACAATCACCTCTTAATCTAGGAGGTCATACCACCCAGCATCATAGGTTCATAGCATCTGATCTGCTTAGGAGGCCCCACACTGGGTGTTAACGTGTGTGTGATGGGGTCATGTCCAGGGCTTGTGGGGGTGCAGAAAAAGCCTCTTAGAAATGTTAGAAAACACTTGGTGCATACATGTGTGGGTGCTTATGGCCTTGTGACCCTCTGGGACTAAATCTGCGTGCAAAATCACCTTAAAGCTAATGTGTGTGTGTCTGTGTGTGAGTGCATTTCTGTGTGTGTAGGCTCTCAAATCAGTTTGTCTGCTTAAATGATCAAAACAGCTGATACAAAATCCAATTTCAGGCTTTAAAATTCAGTTTTTGTTTGTCATTAAAAGCTGAGCGGGTTAATCCCATTTTACTTTTTAAATTAACCCAAAACAGTAGATTCAGAGTGGGAACTACATAGCTGGGATATTAAGCTCTGTCCGCTTTTCTGCTCAGCATGCAGTACAATGCCCCTCTATTTTCTTCAGTTCCTTCTGAAGGCTTTGTATAAACGATAAACGTAGCGAACATGATGCCATCCACACATTTTGGCCGTTACCATCTTGTTTACTTGAAACTGAAAAGTGAGCGTATTTGGACAACAGTGCAGTGCTGCGACATTAGCACTGATTTGAGGTTTGGCTAGTGAGAAACAGAGCAAACACTGGACCCGCTGCTTCTACAGCCCTGTCCGGTTACCCTCGAGTAACTGCCCGTCTCCTGGCATCTCCTCTGCACTCTTGAGACTGTGCAGGGAGACACAGCACACCTTCTTACAACAGCACGTAAAGTACTAGAGAAGCTGAATATCTGTGCAACCTGAATGGGCTTCAGGCGAACTCGTGCAACTAGTAGTGAAAAAGCCGCTAACAATAAGGAAAGTTGGAGGGGAAAATGGAAAGAGCAATGATGTGTGGCCACCATCTGCAAACCATTGTCTTTTTTGGAAGGATGTCCTGTCGTCGCCTTTCCAGTCACTGCTGTCACTTTTATTTGCACCAAAGCGACTAAAATGGATTCACAATGGCTTCTGCTTCCTAGTGTGGGACTGGTATGCCTGAACTTTAACCCTACTTAGTGTAGGTTTCACTGTCATGATCAAGCATTCCTTTCATTTTCTTTGAACAGTATAATTATTTCTTCCCACTTTAGAAACACTGTAAAATGTGGAAAATTGCGCTGTGATATCCTGACCTGAAGTGTAATGTCATTAAAGTTGGGCAGCAGCATCACCAGCCTGAGTCTGTATATAATCGAGTGGTCCTGACCCAACCAGCTCACCCTTTAATAAGCTTAGCGGAGCCCATGTTAACGACCTAACCTGTAACAAGCTGATCCTTTAACAAAGTAAAGCAGATTGTGCTGCCCTGTGATGCGTCATGCTAACACGAAGCGAGACGGACAAATGAACACAACGGCACACTCAGAGCGTGTAAATACAACACGTGTGAAACACAGTGCTACTAAACCTCCTTTTTGTAATTTAGAAATATTTCACATTAATCTCACAGGGGGGGGGGCGCTGTGAGGCTGTTTTATGATGACCTTAGGACGACCTCATGTCTTGGGCACAGGAAACGATATTCCTCTCTTCCTAGTGAGATCGATTCTCGTAATGGTGGCCAAATTCATAGCAGAGCCCTAAACGAGTTCAGTTTCATGATCATTAATATGCAAATTGTTGTCACAAATCGATCTGTGGCCATGACTACTGTTCACAGAGAGTTGGGGACGGCTGCAAGCACAACACTGGAAGACGGTGAAAGATGCTGTCTTAAGGCCTCTCTGTGTTGTACCGTCTGCTTAGCAGGCGGTTGTTTCATCTCTCTGATAAACACTTTAATGACCCACATATTGTGAACACTACAACATCCACCATACCTGCTGCTAAACCGAAGCACGCTGTATACACTTAGGATGTCAGCTTCATTCTGGCCAACAACACCCGGACCTGCCAGAATCCCCAAGTTTTGTACATTTGTTTCTGTAGCAGTTTGAGATTCATCTTTAAAAACTTTTTAAGAAAGCTTATCAATTTTACTCCTCACTTTCATTTTAAAACATTACATTCTCTTCTTCTTTTACTTAAATTCATTTTAAGTTATAATTTAATCGCTGTCTGCTGTAGGACAGCACGATAATCGTTGTTTGCACAGTTTCATCACAGAAAGAAGGTCCTGGGTGCCTGAGTGGGTTGTCTCGTGGTACTCTGGTTTCCTCCCACAGTACAAAGACATGTAGTTAGTGAGATTAGGTTCACTGGTGAATCTAAAATGTAATCTTATGTGTGGAATGTGAGTGTGAATGACTGTACGTCTCCCTGTGTTAGCCTGCGACAGACTGGCAACCTGTCAGGGTGTACTGATCTCGCCCTGTGGCAGCTGGGCTGCAGCCCCACAACCCTGACCTGGATAAACTGGATGGAAAATGGATGGATGGAGCACTGTTATAGTTATTTAGTTCTTTATATTTGCAGGTGAGATTTGCAGATTTCCTTAGTTGTGCTGAATGGCTCGATTCTCTGTTCTGGTGTTCCAATGCTGTAAAGTCTATAGTGTGTGTGTGTGTGTGTGTGTGTGTGTGTGTGTGTGTGTGTGTATTCATGTGTTTACTAACAGGCAGATTGGTGAAGACACTGAAGGTGCTCTTAAGAAAAGCAATCAGGTCAATCAGGTAGTCGCTGGCAGCCAGATTCTCGCCTCCGGGCACCGCAGCCATCCAGTCGTAATCAGCCAGCTGCAGGAACTGGTCAATCTTTGCATTCAGGCTGGTGTAGATCTCCGCCTCTGCAGCATGACGAGCATCCTGCGAGAGAAGATTGTAACCAACAGAGAATTTTAAAAAAGGAAAAGAAAAAAAGGAAAAGTATCTTAGAATTTACAAACTGGAGACACGTGCGTGCCTTCATGTTGCAGACAGACGATGCATGGCACGATAAACAAACTGTGTGGAAAGGAGGAAAAAGAAAGGAAGAATGGGGGAATAAAGAAAAAGTAAAACAGCTGGGGAGAAAAGAGGAGACAGAGGAAGAAAGAGCAGCCTTACCTTAAAGGTGGAGGTGCCGTACAGCTTGGTAGCATTTACTGTGTCAGGAGGAACATTGGTTATGTTTGATATGAACTCCTCCAGGAAGTGGCAGCTCTGCTCCAGGTGAGTGGTGTTAATGATCACCTGCACCAACTACACAAACAGGACAGACATGTAGCCGGTCATCTTTGGATTCTTTCTCCTTTTGTTGTGTAGCCGATAGTTCTTTTTCCTCACATTTTTTCACAATGTGTCATCTTTGGATTCTTTCTCCTTTTGTTGTGTAGCCGATAGTTCTTTTTCCTCACATTTTTTCACAATGTGTCATCTTTTGCAAGTGGAACATATTGAACAGTTCGACTTTTTTTTTCCAGCATGTGGGCAATTTTTCGATGAAATGGGCCGAGAGCTCGCCAAAAAGCCAAATATCAAACATACCACCGAATTTAAAAGTATAATGTCTCCTGTGGACCGTGTGGGATACGTTTGCCACGTTTACTGATATTTCTTAGGTTAAAAAGTACAAACGGTTACTTGATTTTTGGCTTTAATCGTGAATTTTTATGCGTTAATCGAATCCAAACTGCAATACGTGCAATGACAGGAGCAAACGGGTGTGCAAATGCATTCACATTCTGCAACAATCAGTCTAGTGACTTCCTCATAAGCCTTAATTTGAACAACAAATAGAGCTTTGTGATTCTTAGATGAACTTGTTTAATAAAGGATGCAGACATGCTGAATTTTCCATAACACGTCGTCTTATCATTACATCCTGTCCCCGTGAATTAATGATGTTTGTGCTCTAGTGTAGCCGCTGAGCATGAAAATAAACAGCAACGGAAAGTGGAAAATATTAAATCATTACTTCACATCACATTCTGCAGCGATGGGACAACAATAACAGTGGGCCGAAAAGAGGAAATGTCTGTTTTTGGGAAAGTAAATGAGCTGGAAATGCTGAGAATCGCCATTCTGAGTAAGAGAACTACTCTGAAGTTGTGCAAGCGACTTTAGAGTAACACGTTCACTCTGGGAAGGTTATTACAAGTGTCAGGGGTGACAAAAGTTGCACTTGCCAAAGAAAACAACATAATAAAAGATAGAATCAAAAACATAAGACTTCACTTGTTTACTGGCTCACATCACTGCAAAAATCTACCATTCAGAGGCCATTATTGTAACACGAGTCTAATGAGCATTTGTTCAGTAGAGCTCTGTCTCCATCTCTTCATAATTTCACTGTCATTACTGGCAATGTTATTTGTTCTCTCGACTAGAGCAGCTTTGCATGAGTCCCAGCTCAGAATAATCCTTGTTTATCTTATAGTGGGTCTTGGTGCAGCTCCTCTGTTCATCCTCTGACACAAGCTGCTTTAGTTCCTCTTACTTTGCAAACAGCAGGGTGGGCCCCACTGCTGGGACCGAAACTATGTTCAGTGAATAGGGTTTTTCGACCCCATTGCACATGCTTCTGACTGCAACTCAACGTCATCCCTGTTTTTGTTGTTAGAAATAAAAGACAGAAATTGTTGAGGATGACGTAAGACTTTTTTTTTAAGTTGTTAAAAGTTTCTTACTATGTGAAAGCCTGCTAGGAGTATTACTTGAAGCTCTGTTCTGAACCTCATTATAGAACAAAATAACTGGGTGTGCATCAGAAGTTAGTGAGGGTCACCTCTACCTGTGCAGCTGCCCTTCAAAAAAACCCAGAAACTACTGTAATGGTCGTTTCGTTTCTTCTAATTGGCTGCCGGCTCCAAACAGAAGGTATAAACAGCAGGTGGGTGGGGCTTCTGTGCTCACAGTCAGAGTGCCTGAGAAGACCATATAAGGGATATCCACCTCACCAGTGGTTTATTGGGGGGGAAAAAACAGACATATATCTGTATCCACCCATTTAACACTCTCTCTCTGTCCTTATTTAATACAGCGAGTTTATTTTGTCAGTTATAATCCCATTAGAGTAATCTCAGTTTGCCTCTTTTTCCTCTCACCCCTTAAGCTAGTCGCAGCAGACGGCGACTTCCCACTGTTGCCTAGTGTCCCCTCGTAGGAGGTCATCTGATTGTTGGAGATTCTTTCTAATATTGCAGAGTCTTTACTCTACAATAAAAAGTGCTGTGAGGCGAATGTTGTTGTGATTTTACACTATATAAATAAATGTATTCTCTGTTTTGTCAAATTCAGGTAAAAAACTAAACAAAACAAACAAAAAACAAGATGGAAAGCGTCAAAACGCTCAACTTATGTCAACTTTAATTCTACGTCTATGGTTTTTGGTCAGACGAAAATATTAAATCCAAAGTAGGAGAACAGAAACTCCCCACATCTTCCTCAGTTCAGAAAAATGTCTGACCTTTTGGAGTGACCATTGTGGTTTTATCTGTCCACTTTTTTGGAAAAATACACACACACACACACATTACCTCTGCCAGTCCGACATTCTTCTTCTTAATGGCGTACTGCAGACAGTGGCTAAGAGTTCTGGTCAACAGCAGATTTGTCGACTTGCGGATCATATCGTCCACCTCTGTGGAGCTGAGAAAAACACATACATAATAAATACATAAGCGAAGAGAACGGGAGAGTCTGTGACTGTGCAGAAGCGATTTCTTCCATTTCTTGCAGAGAGCTGCTACGCCCGAAAGCCAGTACAAACAGTTTAAGTGAATTTCTCTGTCTGCGACTCTCTCCATTTGGGAAAAAGTCTAAATGTCAGCCAACTCTAACAAGTACATTACCATGTTATGAGCTGTCAGGCTCATTAAAACTCTAACGCCATCCTAAATGCCCTGATAAGACTTCAGCTTTAAAACTGGTCATTTAGGACTCATGATCCTAAATGTATGACCACAGAATATCACAGAAATCAAACTTCTTTCCTCCAAATTCTTAAAATTCTTAAAGCTTTAATAGTTGTAAAATTACCAGCTGTGCTCAGCCAGCGGACTTAACTCTGAAATGAGCTCAAATTTCCTATTAAAACAAATGTTTGATGGCAGAAAAATCAGACCCACTTAAAGAATCTCCGACACGCTATCAGCTTTGTTATGTTTGAAATGCGGGTGATGTTTGGTGAAGAAACCCAGACAATTTTCTGCACAATTTTGGGGGTCCAGTAAAGTTTTTTATGGCAGGGTGTCTCTTTCTCTGGCCTCCTGTTTAATAACAACACGTTCCTGGAAACAACTACACAAAAAGTCGTGTGACTTCGGGCTCGGTGTGATAGGCAAAAGGTTGCGTGTACAGACAGAAGAGAGGTCGTAACCCATGAGAGACCAGAGGTAAAGCACACAGTATTAGAAGATGATGCACGCTCTTGCAGGAAAAGGTCAGGGGAGGTCAAAACGAGTCGCACAGGCAGAGATAATCACTGTGAATGAAAGCAATCGCTTTCTCCCGCTGAGGGATGATGAACAATCTGTGTTTGTGTGTGTGTGTTTCATTTTCTGTGTTTGAATCCAGAGCCCTGTGGGCAACAAATACATTCCAACTGAATCTGTCAATTGTCTGTGCCTGGAATTCAACACACATGCACACTGAGTTGCCTGAGGGAGAGTGAAAGCTGGAATTCAAACTCACTGCTTTTCCAAAAAAGCAGAGGAATCCTAAAAACGTTCCGACAAATCAGAGCAAAGGTTGCGGGGGGTGGTGGAGGAAGACAGAAAAAAAAATTCCTGGAGCGGCAGAAGTGCCGAGTGGACAGAAATGGTGGAGAGTGGCAAAAAGTCAATGTATGCTGGTGAACTCACCGAAACGCGCGCATACATATACAAATATAGACGCACCGCAGAGCTGGGTTTGAGTTTCATTGTATTTATGCTGCCATCAGTCACAATAAATGCACGGCGGTCTGCGCTGTCAAAGGGAAGCCAGAAGCTTTCAGATGAGGCGTGTTTACAGCACGCCCAGGAGGTATTTTCTAAAAATACACAGGCAGCAGCATCAGCGATGACAACAACGAAAAAAATGAACGCAGTCAGCAGTGAAAACAGCGACGGGCTGAATACACACAAAACACTGTGGACGTTCAAACGTGTGGCAGTAAGTAACTGCGCCACGTAGCACTCGCTACATTTAATAAAAGAATCAACTGTGGTAACCGATGTGCCAGCCAAGTAAACTCTGCTCTCTGTGTGTGTGTGTGTGTGTGTGTGTGTGTGTGTGTGTGTGTGTGTGTGTGTGTGTGTGTGTGTGTGTGTGTGTGTGTGTGTGT